TGTCCTAGTTTTGTGTAATAAATTTTATAAAAAGTATGTTTTGCTGAAAGAAACCAATTTATTTCAAAAATTGAGCAAAATTGACCAATAAAAGTTTAGTTAAAAACATTGTAATACTAATAAAAAACTACATCCAGAAATGCAAAAAAAGGAGGCTTTCATTTAAGAAAACATAAATTTGGATTGTAACTTATTTTTGGGACATGCTGTACAGTTGAAATTTCAGGCGATGTACTAGTTTAGTATTTATCAATTTTAAGAGATGATTATAGAAGTCAAAAGAAGATAAAAAAACTCAATATGATTTTTTCAAATGCTCAAATTTAAAATAAATAAAACTAAATTTTTTGCACTTTATCTCAAAGTTTCCTAACAGTTGTGTGTCCTTTCTTGTCTAATTTTGACATATTTTTTTGAGGTTGTGAAAGATTTCGACGGTTGAAATGGGCTGAAATTTTTCAAAAAACTTAAAATCCTGGCTCTATTTTCCCTCATGATCGAAATCGTGAAAATTTTTATTTTCGTGTCGCTTTTAACTCGCTCAAACGCAAATCGTGTCAAGCGCCTTAATTAGCTTTTTAGTTTAATAAATAATCACAGCGCTGTTGATGAATTTTCAAAGTTTTATCTTGTTAACTCTTCATTTGCTTTCCTCTCTGAACTTTATTTAATTTCAACCTTCGGTCAATTTCGCCTTCGGTTGATGTAACGGCCAAACAACAAAGTCTCTTCTCGGAGACTTATGGTCCATTAACCCGAAAGCTCATTTACTTGAGCATTCATAACGAGGGATTGCGACACCTGAAGACGGAGAAAAGCTATGAACCGGTATTAAATTATGCCCCACGTAATAATGAGAGTAATTAGGACACTTTGCGCCCCATTTCGCGAATAATCCGGTCCTGGAAATAGAGCGAGTTAATCTACAATACGTGTGCGACTATGTTAAAGCCTAGACTCCTTTGTGTTTAATTGTAAACAATCCAAAGCCTGGTGTAGTCCTAGGCGAGTGCGGTTGCGAAACTCGGGGGATTTCCCATTTGTATACATGTGGAGCTGAATAAGAGAATTCAAGCGGTAATAACCAAAAATTGGGCCCTCATCTCCCGACTATGCAAACCGCAGGTGTTTCATTTCAAAGTCGAGTTAATTTCAACGATGAAATTAATTTGGAATTGTTTTAAGACCAACAAGTAGAAAAAATGCGGAGAACGTGAGATTCAACATTAGATAAGTTAATTAGTTGGCAGTGCCTCCGCTGCCGGCAACGGTCTCCGAATCAGTTTTAAGATCTAGCCGCTAATTTTACTTTTTTCAAATTTTACTAGCTTTTTAAAATAGCTTTTTTAAACAATACCAATAATAGTTTTTTGGTAGTAAAAAAGATCGTTTTGTGTAGCATGATGGAAATGGATCAAAATATTTATACAGCGTGAATATAAAGTATGAAATCAAGCGGTTTTTTTTAACATTAATAATTATTTATTATACAAGATGATAAACAATCGTCGTGTATAATACAACATTTTTTTTTAATAGCAAGAATTACAGTTTAAGAGAAAAAATAAAATTCCAAAAAAAATTACAATTTTTGGCATTTCTCAATACAAAACGTCAGATTATTTTTAACAAATTTAAAGCAGGTTTAAGCCTTGTTGAGTCTAATTTAAAGAATAAAATGTTGTATTCAACTCGTTTGAGTGTAAATCGAACGCTTTATTCCACCTCGTGGATGATAAAATTTGTAAATTTAAATGAATAAAATAAGTTAAAACATTTTATCTACTCTTGCTGTTAAAGTGTTACTTTATCTACTCAAAAAAGTTGATAAAGAAATAGTTTGACATTTGTTGTAAAAAAAGTAATAGATATAAAAAATGTAA